TTATAACTATGTTTAGGTCTAGGGTTGATTAATAGGCTTGAGTCAAAGATCGCTGCCACACCTCCACCTCGGCCTGTGTTTCAAGGGATGTGACAGTTACTGTGACTAGGTGGAGTGGATTCATTTAGGCTGACATATTCTTCCTGCTGTAACCATGTTTCAGTAAGACACAATAAGTCAATGTGATGTTCACTTATCAAATCATCCACTAACAGAGATTTAGATGAGAGAGGTCTGATATTTAATAGTCCACATTTGATTGTCCTATTACTTTCTACTATAACAAAGAGTGAAAAATTTAAGGGGGTCTGAATACTTCCCGTACCCACTGTAAATCAAGCAGAAAGCTAACGTTACATCAAAAAGGGTGCAGTAGCCTACTCTAGAATCAAGACAGCTTGTAGAAAGCAAATTTTATATAGGCTACTTGTTTAATATTTTTATGTAGCGTTTTCTCCACCGTGCTACTGTTATATCAAAAAATGATGCATTGTTTCTGTCTCTGTTTTCATCATTGCCACTGATTAGAAAACAATCTTAGTCCGGTTGACCACAGACATCAAAACGAGCAAACCCAACAGGATGTCAGTTGACTTCCGGAGCCACGACGACAGCGAAGAGTGACAGTTGTTATGTCCACAAGGCAGCTCTCTGCAGTGACGTCTCTGTCTCTACACCGGGCGGGATATCCGGAGTTGTAAGATAGCTAATAACATGGCGAAGACTTACGATTACTTGTTTAAACTACTTTTAATTGGCGATTCAGGTGTCGGAAAGACCTGTGTGCTATTTAGATTTTCAGAAGATGCCTTCAACTCAACATTTATCTCCACTATAGGTGGGTAGAAGTGTTATTATCTGTACTGTCTCGGTCGAAAATGCTACAGAAGTAGCCCATCCCGTCATGCTAATTTGTTGCTAACTTTTCTGACTAGCACTCATTTTGCATTAGTGGTTAGTCAGGAAGCAGCCCAGCCGGCTTCTTATAGGGGTTTTTCCATTAGCCGCCAATGATATTTTAACCACTAGAGATGCTTGCAAAACACCCGATTGTATGATCAGTATATGTATGTGTCCTACAAAGCTTATGTTAACGTTAGTCAATATTATTTATACCCTAACTGTGCTAAGCTGAGCTAAAAAGCTACAAGGCAGTAACTGAGCTAGCGTTTCCTGACAGTTCCACTTCTACTGTACTTGTACTTCGTGCTCTCCTAGTCGATGTTACATTATTATTCCAATCCGTAATTCTAAGGACACATGCGTTACTTCAACTATCACTAGGATACTGAGTCAGTTTTAGCTTAATACCACCCTTAGCATGTGCTATTCTTAATTTGGGCGAATAATGTGAGTTTTATTTTTCTTCAGGTATTGACTTCAAGATCAGAACAATAGAATTAGATGGGAAGAAGATCAAGCTACAGATATGGTATGAAAGAGCATCAACTACTTCCATGTGGAAGCCTACATGATGAAGTAGTGCATGCAGGAAATTGACCTTCATTGAGGTTATAATGCTCAATTTTGAGAGAAGCATTACTTACTCTCCTAAGAGGTTTTTCTGACATTTAAACTTCTTATAAATGAGTTGGATAAAATATTAGAAAGACCTCTCAGTATAATGTAATACATTTCAACACCATCACAGACTACAGCTTCCAAAGTTAAAAACCTGGCCTTAAAGCTGTGTCTAGTTTTTGCAGGATGTAGTTAACAGACTGACAACTGTGTATGTATAACAGAACAATAACAATAACTGTAACTATGCTCCTTTAAGTGAGTCCAGCATGCAGAGTGGCATGTTTTAAAGTTATGGTGAGGCAGTATCACAAAAAAAAAAACAGTAATTGTGGTGATAAAGAGCCTGTCAATTTTAATAAATGTAATTCATTTAATATAAATAACTAGTTTTACCATCTTCATTATTAATATCTGTATTACACTGTGATAAAAATAAACCACAACTCAACATTTCCTGTTTGAAACTTGCCTCATTTGCCTTCCTCCCTTGACACTGTTGACTTCACCTAGACCACTAATGTGACAACTTTTGTACCAGTGTCCTCAGAAAATACAGATATATCAGAGAAATATTCTGAAGAATTTGCTTAGTTGTTGTTTGGCCAACAGATAAGATCATTATCTGCTTTATTTTTGTGATTTATTTTTTTTGTACAGAGGAAGCCTGTGATATGTTAATTCTTGCACATATATTGGAACCGGGGGAAGCAGATATATCCATTTGTCTTTAATACTTGTAGGAGGAACACATGAGATATTGTCTAAAGAGCAGTTGTATCAACTGTTTCCTGTGACTGCATTCAGCATCTCACAAGTCTTGTCCTTGGCGTCCTCAAAATTGCTGGTTATGCAATTTTCAACATAACTCGCTGACTCTTGCAGCTAGTATGCAGTCTAACAACACCCAACTTGAACATAAGTCAGTCAGGGAGCCAATTATATATTTTAAACTAACAGAGATTTAGTTTCCCCCAGAATCCCAGGCTCTTTGCATAATGCACAGAGATGAAGCTGATATTCTCTTCAAATGTTCTATGAATAAGACAGCAAACAAGTGAATTTTCCTAAAAATGTCAAAGTTTCCTATAAATGATGAGAAAATGTGTTGCTTTATGCAGAGTAATGTGGATTTTTGAGGCTGAGCTCTGTGAGGTAAAGCTAAGAGGTGTGTTTTCTGTGTAGGGATACAGCAGGACAGGAGAGGTTCAGGACCATCACAACAGCCTACTACAGAGGAGCCATGGTAAGTTGTCTTAAAGCTCATAAACTAGTATAGATCATGTCTGAGATTTGAGTTTGCGCCGGTCATCTCAGGTGTGTGTGCTTCAGCTTACATGTTTGTTACAATCACATCCTGCATTGTCATTGCTGTTTTTATATGTACCTGGGAAATTTGAGGTGTGGTTAGTGCATTGTTGTGGTGCTATTGTTAACCTCTCCTTTAGTTCAAGTTTAACTGGATACCCGTGTTTACATATTTGCAATGGTGGGGAAAAGCACATTTGACAGATAATTTCCATAACTGTCTTTAATGAGAATTAAGAGGTATTCATGCTTTGCGTGTCTGCATATCCCCTAAGGTCGAGTGATGTAATTTTCGTCATTTTCCAAAGTCCGCGTGGGTCTGCATGGACTAGATGTTCACATGCAGGCCAAAGGTTTATGTTCGCGTGGATGGTTTGCACAGCAAAAGCCCTGACTGCACATGTACTACAGTGCTTGTAAATCATTGGTGTACACGGATAGAAGGCAGACCCTCGATTTGAAGTATAAAAGGAAACACATATACACGATGAAACACACAAAGTAATTGATTGTCTGGCTGCTCAGTGATCTTGTGTTTTATCCTCTCTGAACTCTCCAGGGAATCATGTTAGTGTATGACATTACCAACGAGAAGTCCTTTGATAACATTAAGAACTGGATACGGAATATAGAAGAGGTAAACTATTTTATATTAGTTAATGTGTCAGTGTGTGTGTTCTCCTTTGTCTGTACAAATCCTGCTGTTCACTTCTTCTGTGTGGACACGAGTGTTTTATTTTGGTATTAATATTTGCATAAATAGGGCACTTTGTTACTGTCAGTTTCCTGTCTGTTCACCATGCCAGTTTATCTTCCACAGCATGCTTCAGCAGACGTGGAAAGGATGGTCCTTGGAAACAAATGTGATGTCAATGACAAGCGGCAAGTGTCCAAGGAAAGAGGAGAGAAGGTGGGATGATAAATTTGACAAATAAATGCTGTGAGAACTTGATTTAAAAAGTACAGTTGAACCTTACTCCTTTGCAGTAATTTTTATTAATTTTTTTGAAACTTTTTTTATACTGACACTGGCTCTCTTGTCTCTTACCATCAGCTGGCACTGGAGTACGGTATCAAGTTCATGGAGACCAGTGCGAAGGCGAACATCAACGTGGAAAATGTGAGTTTTGAGGGGTCCCTGTTCCCTGAAAACTATAATCGGCCAGTCCATGTGTAACACAGGATACAATAATCCGATCAAACCATTAAATTACAATCATATTTAAATTGTAGCCACACATTCTGTTCACTGCAGACACACACACTGTGTGCACATCAAGTCAAACAGTTTCTTATATACAGTTATTGATGTGAAAGAACCAACTTTTTGTGGTTTTGTTGCTTTAATTTAAACCTGAACTCTTCCTTGTCCCAAACCATTGGACCAATCCAGTCATTTGCTAACCTGTGTGTGTCTGCAGGCCTTCTTAACCCTCGCCAGAGACATCAAAGCGAAGATGGACAAGAAGCTGGTAGGAACCTTGACTCTTATTTTTATAAACCTGACAGTATTAGGTGTCTATGTCATCAACCTCTGCTATTTCTTGCTCTTCTCATATGTGTGGTTTCTCACCTGTGTATTTTAGGAGGGCAACAACCCACAGGGCAGCAGTCAAGGGGTAAAGATCACAGAACAGCCCAAGAAGAGCAGTTTCTTCCGCTGCATGCTACTGTGAGAAGACAGGAGTTTCAGCATCCACCGTCGCCTTAACTGTGTCCCCCACTGGACAGAACTGGACAGCACACACTCTGATCTGTCTCTCATCTTCCTCATTCTTTTTCTGAATGCTTGTCCGTTAGGGAAAACAAAGCTTAATCGCTCCCATGGTTTGCCACCGACCTTTCCTTGACACCTGTGGATCTAACTGCTGTGGCCTCCTTTACATGCGTTACCTTTTTTTTTTTTATGTTACTCCTTAGATTGACAGTTTCAACTTAAATTTTATTGACTTTTAAAGACTGGCTCACTGTAAGACCCTAAGAACAATCAAACCTTTACTGCCCATTAGCTTTTTTTTTTTACTTGGGTTGTTTATATTTACATTAATGTCTGATGCCTACTTTTTTTTGTCACCTGTCGTCACTCCATGAAGTCTTTAGTGAGTCCTCATCGCTAAAAGTAGCCCAAATTCTACTTCCAGAACAGGTCTGTTAGTCCAATGGCCTTTCTGATTTTTGATAAACTTAACCTGGTGAATTATGTGACCTACTGTATGTCTCCAAGGTGAGTCCCACTTGAACAGTCCCATTTCAGTGTGGTTTATTTGAACTACATTTGTGTACTGATTGGCTGGCCTAGATTTTTTTATATTCACATTGGGTAAATGCAACATGTAAATATATCATTGAGTATAGAATTTATCATATTAAATGGCAGCACTGGTGCATTTTTACTCAACAGTGGGATTTACAGATCCTCTGCCTTCCTTTTCTACTCATGTCTGTTGATTTCTTAGGCTGAAACATTCCATATATTCTTTCTCTGTACACCTTACTGTGCAATGTAGTATATTTAGAACCCAGATTTGTCTGACTTAAGTATTCACATGGTCATACTAAGGCTGAGTTCTTGTAGGGGCACACAGATTCCCTTTGTAGTTGCTGTCCTCTTCATTTTAGGTATTGCTATTTATTCTTAGGAACAACATCAACAGGTTGGACTAGCAATACCCAACCCTAATACCTGGAGACAACACAGTTACATTGCAGTGGCACAGAAGGAATCGCAGTCATGGTAAAATCATTGTTGTATGCATCTGTATTTCTTCCAGTTGTCAGTTCCAATGGGGAAACATGTACACAACTGTCTTTGGGGCCCTGGATAGGGGCTGTGCTGTAGCAGTATTTATGGAGTGAAACCAGGGATAGCACCAAAATGTCAAAGTGCCCTTTTATGTTCTTACTGAATATGCACTTTTCCTTTTGTCGTTTTTGTTTCTGTTAAAAGTTTTCTTAACATTTGTTGAGTGTGTTTATTGCAAAGAATATGCATGCACAAGTCTCCCATGTATCTGGGCTTCCGAAGCACTGACAAAACCTGTGGTTTAGAAATGTTTCCCTATTTCCAACATTCCCATTAATTAATGTTTCATGTTTTTCAGATGTTTGTGTATTTGCTTCACTATCAATGGGCTTTATGAGCCCCAGCTATCCCCTGCCTACAACCCCACCCTCACTCATTATGGCCTCTCCTCTTTCCAGACATCCCTCCTCTTCCTCTGGCCCAGAATCATGGCCATGTAAACTATGCATTCTGAGTGTGTAGAAAACCTCATAAACAAGCTGTTTATGAGGTTAGAAATGCACAAAGGCTCCTTACTGTTTAATATTTTTGCCACCACTCCAAATTCTGTTGTATTTGCTGAGCTGTCCAGGTGTAAGAATAGGAAGCTAACTGAAAGCTGGGTAAAATTACCTCAGATGTTTTACGATGAGAGCAAATTGTTTCTAGTGTTGTTGAAGTGAGTCTGCAACTGATTATGACTGGGATTTGAATCATAGCTGTCATCTTTGATGGATTTAAAAGTTTCAGCACTATTTTTCATTAAACTACCTAAATAAAAACGCAGTTTTTAGACTTAAGTTTGACTTAAATTTGGTCTTTTGATTGGATTGTAATTGTCGACCATTTTAAACCTGCTGTTTCTCAGTTCATGTGTTCTGCAGTCCTTAACTATGTTCGGATTTCATTGCTGACTATTGATGGCTTTCATGGGGAATAAATGAAATAAGTCAGCAACTGTAAATAAGATTATAATGATTGTACTGTAGTTTCATACATCTTATTGATCTACATCTTTTGTCAACATTGTACTTTTGATGATTTATTAAAAACAAGATTCTTAAAAAATGTTTAGTCATCTTATTCTATTTGTACCATTTATCATCAGAAATGTATGTAAATTCTATATATATACAATACAGTACCATGGCAGTTACGTTAATCATGCTTTGTGGTTTGATATCTGAATCTGACTTATCAGAAAATGTAATGCAGTTAATATTCGTAGCTTGTTTCTATTAATAACTGTGTCTTAAGAACTGACGAGAGACTGTCTTGCATGTTGAAAAGTAACAGTAACAGCAACTAAACCATAAAACAAACTGCAGAACAACTCCTTCCCATCTCCTCTGCTGCATAGGGTCACTACAGAAACTCTAAAGTGTGAACCTTCTCCACTGCATGAATTAAATATTCAGTATTGTTCCCCAAATTACTCAAAATGTAATACCTCAGCATTTCAGCAAGTGAAACAGTTTCCTATATATACAGTGGGGCAAATAAGTATTTGATACACGGCCAATTTTTCAAGTTTTTCCACTTACAGAGAATGGACAGTTCTGTAATGTTCATCGTAGGTACACCTCAACTGTGAGAGAAAGAATCTACAAAAAAAATCCAGAAAATCACATTGTTAGATTTTTTAATTATTTCCATTTTATTGCATGAAATAAGTATTTGATACAATAGAAAAATAGAACTTAATATTTGGTACTGAAACCTTTGTTTACAATTACAAAGGTCAGATGTTTCCTGTAGTTGTTGACCAGGTTTGCACACACTGCAGCAGGGATTTTGGTCCACTCCTCCATACAGGTCTTCTCCAGATCTTTCAGGTTTTGGGGCTGTCGCTGGGCAACACGGAGTTTCAGCTCCCTCCATAGATTTTCTATTGGGTTCAGGTCTGGAGACTGGCTAGGCCACTCCAGGACCTTGAAATGCTTCTTAGAGCCACTCCTTAGTTGCCCTGGCTGTGTGTTTGGGGTCATTGTCATGCTGGAAGACCCAGCCATGACCCATCTTCAATGCTCTTACTGAGGGAAGGAGGTTGTTGCCCAAAATCTCACGATACATGGCCCCATCCATCCTCTCCTCAATACGGTGCAGTCGTCCTGTCCCCTTTGCAGAAAAGCACCCCCAAAGCATGATGTTTCCACCCCCATGCTTCACAGTTGGGATGGTGTTCTTGGCATTGTACTCATCCTTCTTCTTCCTCCAAACACGGTGAGTG